ATGAGACTTACTTTAAGTATAACATAGGTCCAGAACACGTGGAGCACCAACAGTAACGATAGCATGACCATCAGCACTCTAGGTACTAAAGGACGTTGCCATAGGTTTGCCCAACGATAAGATGACTACAAAAGAAAAAGAAAATTGAAATGCTTACTGAAGTGAAAACATTATGTTAGCAGTTGGATTACCTACTCACTACCTAAAATTCAGCACCTGAATTAATTCCGGGGCGTCAAACCAAATAGATTGTATAATCCAGAACGGATAGTAGATGAGACGCGTCGCGGTCCAGACAATCAGAAAAATCACAAATAAAACGTTAAGAGTAGTCTGCCAGTTGGCATAACGCGCAATCTTAGCAGTTTCTCTATAAATTTGTTTTCTTGAAAAAGGCAATCACTAAAAAAAGAATTTTCTCACATCAAAATATCGGCAGCGTCATGAACGAAAAGCACCAATGTACCCACTCGAACCATATTCATAGCCCAACTTAGGTAGAGCAATAATATAGTAATAGCATGATGCAGCAACATTTGTACAAAATCTGCTCGGCGGACATCGACACATAAAGTACTGAATAGATGACTTCAGGAAGGCATAAAACAAGAAAACGTATTTACCCGATAAAAAGGGCCCAATAAAAAGAGGCTTCTAAGATGTAGTACCACCAGACTGCTGTAGAGATATTATGATGTGGCCAACCTCGCCAACATTCAGATACGTCCTTCAGCTGCGGTTCGCCCATCAAAATCATCAAGCTAAAAATAATTCTGTTAATATAGACGATTAAGTAAAAAATGCATTTACCCTGCTGCCCAGGCACAAACATAAAAGGAGAGACGCCAGCCACTTTCAGCTACTCGTTTGAATTTGGATCTGCCAGCGAAACCACCTTCAATTTGGTTTCAAATCAATTATGTAAGAAAGCGCATGAAACGTTAATTTCTTACCAGAGAGATGCGTCCATATGCGAGGTAAAAGGGGAGAAGAGATCCAACCACCAATCCACCCTATAGGTAGAAAAACAAACGTTTCCAAAAGTATCCGAAAAACCTACAAGAATAATCAACGTTGAAAATGTAATGCAGAAATTTTTAGAAATCTTACCAGCAAAGCAAAACCAAATGTGATAGTGTACCGGAGATCAGCGACCTGCGGATAACTTATAGCATTTGTATTCTTCATATCCGCCCATGATGTGTTCTCCGGCAACCAAAAGTATTCATCCCAGAAGTCCCGCATTCCTAGCTGCGGAAAAATACCTTAAAAGATGTTAATGAAACGGAAAAGACGAACCGATAAGAAAAATAATAGTAAATACAAACGATTCATGAGAAAGTCCAGCATAGAAAAAACAATGGAGAAGGTAGTTAAAAAACGTGAAGATGATTGTATGATTATGCATAATTATAGACATATAGTAATAGCTGCAAAAATTCTGAACAAATACACATTAATTCTACACATCACCAAATAAAAATGCATTCACATGAAAATGGTAACCAGCTGACTTATGTTCCAGTGAACCATCAAAGGCGACTACATGATTTCGCCACGATAATTGAAATGACTAGACGTCAAACTACCTGCACTGGTCGTCATGACGTCACTGCTGGGCGAAAATTCGAATG